TATATGCAAACTCATTCTCTGCCAGCAGGAGGCGCTGTTGCAGTGGTAGAGATTGAGGTTTTCCCGGTAACGCTGTACACAAAGCAGAGCTCCACTCACAAACGCTGCATTATCAGACATTACAAGCAAGAAGAAATTAAAATGAGTTTCCTTCAGAAATACAGTGATATCAAAACACCCGCACCGGGTTTCGATTTTGAAACATGTAGTGCTCATGTTTATTCACCATGTGCTAGCATGTTCCTCTCAAAGTCAGCCTGTTCTGTGAGTTAGTGGAGAACAGCAGCTAGAGGCTAATTTAGTGACATTAAAGTTAGTTAAGCTGATGGAAGCTCACCTGCTGTTAGCACCGCTACGAGGCAATCACAAGACTCCAACACACCTCTGATGCAGACATGACCACACACTTTAAAATAAAATACAAAAGATGTTCTTAACAGTGGTGTTTCTTCACTCAGTTTTCCTCAGTAGGTTGTTAGCTCGCTGTTTTTTGTTAATGTATGTCACTGAATTTAGGGACCGTCTCTAAAGTTGCATACGACATTGGTACACACTTTCTGACTTAAATAGCATTTGAAGAGAATTAGCAGATAAAGAGGCAGAGTAGAGAAGATAACTTACTATGTTTCTCTTTGTTCAACTAAGTTAGTTAACTTCGGCTAAATTACATCATTAATTTACCAGTTGATGTTATCATCGATAATGACATTCACAAGAAGAGGATTCGACGTTGCAGACTACATCCAGACTAGAAATCTGAAAATAACAAACAAAAGAAGTACTAGAAAATACTGTTTAATATCTCCACTGAAACAGTGGTTTGCCTAACGCACTTTACCTCAGTATTTCAAGTTAATTCGCTGTTAAGGTTAAATAACGACTCGCCACAGGAGCTAACTTGCATTAAAGGGCAGCAGAACGCACAAACGTGTTTCTCGGTTTAACTAAGGTTTATTTAGTCTAATATAGGTGACCTTAACTTACTCAGCAGTCGAAGTTATCAGCCTTTTGGCGGCATTCTGGCCGTCAGTCAGAAAAAAAGGCTCCAACTCCCGACATGAAAAATGACACGATGAATAATGTTAGTTTGCTGTTAACAAGTGAAAACATCTTAAAATATCGCAGTTTTGCATAAAACAGAAATAATATACTAATCTTTTGTCGAGTTACGGTGCATTTCTCTTTTGTCCTTTTACAGCCACTTCCACCAAACAGTCAAAAAAAGAACTCCCTTGCCATTGGTCAGTTTTTCATGGGCAACTTCGGTGCTGTAAATTGATTTACAGTAGTGAGGAAATACAGTAGTCACCGTATATTTTCCTATAATCCTTTGCGTTTTACAGTAAAATACTGTATACTCATTTTACAGTATCTTACTGTACATATTACAGTATAATACTGTTAGAAAACACTCTCTGTCTGTATTGGTTCCAGATGTTTTCACCCTCCTTTTTCTTCCTCTCCCTCTCTCACTCGCCCTCCCTGTACAGCACACTGTTGTCTCTCTCTGATTCCCCCCTCCTCCATCTGATCTGCTCTCTCTCTTGTATTATGTTTTAATGTCTCTTACTCATATTCAAGGTACGCATGTGTAACGGATTGGAAAGGTATGTTAAATTATTGCATAAATGGGGACAGCGCCATCTATGTGGTGCGTGATGTGATTTAGCGTGTGGAGTAGGGACTGCCCACAGCAGAGTTAATGAAGCATTGCTGTGGGTAAGTTGCACGGTTTTCGCGGTCTGAGAATTACCATTTATAAGTGTCCAAGACACACAAATATTTGCTTTAATGTGATTGTATCTTTCAATTAATATGTTGGGACTCTGTTAAGCCTTGTTTGGCGTTGTGTGTGTTGCTCAATATCGAGTTATAACGCGTTTATATTACGAGGCCTGATTGCAATCAATTTGTGTGTTGTCTTGTGTTTTATGTAGAAATGGTTTCTTCTCTCTCTGAATCAGTGAAACCCTATTACACACTGTCTCCATTGTGCAGGTATGTTGTTAAATGTTTGTGTTAAATTGCTTTATTCAAAATGAGTTACTCAAGTTCTCCGCTAGGTGGGGATGTTTCCCTTAACTGTGAGTTTAATTGTATTGCTCTGTATTTCATTGAGGATCTTCATTCATTGATTTGTGATTTATAATTAATTGAAAATGTGTGTCATCTATATTCAACCTGTTACGACTGAAACACTATACGATCACAAAGTTAAAAATAATTTAAGTGACCGAATTAACAAAAGAGAACTGTTTTCAAATAAACAGAGTTAATGAAGCATTGCTGTGGAAATGGTTTCTTCTCTCTCTGAATCAGTGAAACCCTATTACACACTGTCTCCATTGTGCAGAAAGCAGACCGCCCAGGCAAGACCGTCACACATGCGCACATGTATGCACTAGGTTTTCTTGGTTCAAATGAGGACACGATAGCTAGGACTCTAAGGTAATGGGGTTCGTGATGAACTATGAAGATAGTTCAGCATCCTTCACCAAGTTTATTCCTAATATGTCCATATTTTCCTGTACATGTGGCCATTTTATATAACACATATTCTTGGCCAAAATCCTATATGTATGTCATCTATATCCTCATTGGTTAAAGGGTTGAAACTCCCCTCGACATATGCCTATATAATATCTTTGTATCTATGAATAAAGTTATTTTATACTTTGAGGGACTGAGAATTTTCCAGGTGGCAAAGAGAATCTATAGGGACCGATTGTTAATTACTGACAAATACTGTTCAAATTACAAAAATCAGTTACAGTGCACCCATTGTGGTCTTTGGGGAATCACTGTAATGTCAAATTGAGTTAACGTTCAAAATTTTCTTTGCAACAACGTTACAAAGGTCAGTTTAAGTGCTTAGGATTGCAGAGCTCATGAAAATGTGTGCATTCAAGGAGAAAATCCCCCCACTGATCAGGTTGTGGGTCAAATTGGAGGACACGTGAAAATGTTTGTTTACTCTTCATCAAACCCACAGTATAAAAGAATCATGAAAAGTACTGTAAACCTTGATATTATTGTTTGTGACATTAGCATACAATATATAAATTGAACAATAAATAAATAAAAAATTCATTTAACATTTTCATTTCATTTACAATATCATTAAACATGGGCATTTACTTTCATTAAAAAGCCTTATTTCTGTTATCGCATGCTCGTTTTATAAATGTAAGCTATTATTTAAATTATAGACAAGTGCAAACTGGGCGCTTCATGCAAATGTAATTGGCCACATTTACAAAATCAGAATGTTCGCCCATCTATGCAAATGTGTCTATGTATAGAGACAAAAGAATGAGATGAATCACTGTCTGTCACGTCAGTTTATAGTGATCATGTATATTTGCATAAATATTTGGCACATTTTTGATGATCCCGCCTCGCGGCGATGACGTCATCACTAGCGCACGCTCACTAGTCAGCGTCGAGTCTTCTGTGGAGAGGTGAGCAGATCACAGTATTTCACTTATACTGCACGTAATTTCCCCCGTATTATTTCCCTCCTCTCGCCGCTTCACACTCCAGTCCAGCGGGTGGCGCTAAACGCATACGTTTGTTTGCCAAGCACCATTAAACCTCAGAGGAAGAAGATTATTTCACCGCGCTCTCTGTTGTTTTGTCGTGGTGTTGTTTTAATACAAACTGTTAGAAATGTTGTTTCTTTAAATAGAAAAATACAGTTTTTGAATCAGGTCAATAACTATTCTCATCCTCACAGTCGTGACTAAGTTTTGAAGCAAGCAGGAATATCTGGAGGAGTATCATCTGAACTGAGATCTGCTGCTGTGAAGATGCTGTTTGTTAAAGAGGAGAGTGACAAGAACACGAGTAAACCAGAACCCTGGAGAATAAAACACGAGGAACCAGAACCCTGC